TAGAAATAAAAGAGGAGGGGTGGGACAAAAATTGAAGCACAGAGGTAAGAGAGAGGGTGAGAGAGAGGTCCTTCAGAGCAGCTGGTGAGTGCCAGAGGTGCAGACACAGGACCATCCTCAAGGGAAGAATGGTAGGTGTACATCCTTAGGACTCCTGCCTGCTGGGCTGAACACGGGGACACAAGCCTTGAATTTCAGCACTAAAGAGACAGAGCAGAGGCCCGTGGATCTCTATGACTTGGAGGCCAGTTTGAAATACATAGGGAGTTCCAGGCCAGCCTGGATCACAAAGTAAGACCCTGTCTCCAGAGTGCAGGTACGTCGGTCTGTGAGAGACCGCTGTAGTTACTCCATTTGCGGCTAAGACACTGGTGGTGAGGATCTGAGTTACTCCATAGCTGCTCCTGGCCTGGGGAGGCGTGGCGAGGGTGTCTCGAGTCTCGGGCTGCTAATTGGCAGTGAGGTGGGCGTGGCAAGCGGGGCATCAGAACGACTCTACGCAGGCGCCAAGCTCACTGGTTCCCATGGCGACGAGGACCCACGCGCCCCAACGGCTTAGCAACTGTTCTGTCCCAGACTTTGGTCAGGCCACTGGAGTCCGTCAGTTTCCCCATTCCGACTGCTGCCCAAAGCCAAACGAATCCTGGCCCACGGCATGGGCGACCTGGAGCTGCTGCTGCCTGGGGAGGCTGATGTGCTGGTGCGGGGCCTGCACAGCTTCCAGCTCCGGGAGATGGGATCCGAAGGGTGAGGCAGGGGCAACAGGTGGGGTCTCCCGGTCCTTTAGTGGAGGACCTTGGAACTGACATTGGAGAAGGGGGTGCCCAATGTGGAGGGAGCTCCAGGTGGGAGGCAAAGCTCTTTGAGACAGAAGTGTATGGCTTCCGACGCCCCTCTGGCCTCAGGGCTGGATCACATAGATGAGTAGATCCAGCCCCGACCCTCACTCCTGTTGTACATTTGAACACCCGATACACACCCCATCCCTTCGGGGCAGGTGGAATAAGCAGCATGAGAACCTGGAGAAGCTGAACATGCAAGCCATCCTTGACGCCACTGTTAGCCAGGGTGAGCCCATCCAGGAACTGCTGGTCACCCACGGGAAGGTATGTCAAGATCACGGATTCTGCCTTCGTACTACTCTATCTCTTGGGGACACTGGGCACCTGCTCTTCCTTCTGGCCTGGTATGCCTGTCATTCCTAAGTGGGAAAGAAGAATGTGTTAGGTTTCTTGACCTGTAGTCTAGGCTGCTGTTAGTTCCCTCTTTCTGCCCCCGCGTGTGGGGATTGCAGGCAGGAGTCACGATGCCTGGCTACATTGCCTATTGTATCCTAGGTGGATGCCAGGGTTAATCAGAGACAGCCGTGGGTTCTAGACCAGCATAGGCTGTAGGGGGAGCACCCAAGTGCTAACGTCACCCTGAACTGACCGTGAGACCAAAGGAGAGCCTCACTAAAGAGCAAGGGGGGTTTTCAAAATGGGAAAAGTAGCCTTTCTGACATAAGAGGAGAAACCAGGAAGATGCCTGTGTTGTTGGTTATTTTTGCTCTTTTGCAGGGGGGGGGGTAGAAGGGAGGCTGCAAACCATCTCCCAAATTAATCACACACGGAGGCCTATTCTTACTTATAAATGCCCAGCCACAGCTTTGCTTGTTTCTTGCCAGCTTTTCTTAACCTAAATTAATCCACCTACCGTTTTCCGTTGGGCTTTTCCCATTCTCTTACTCCGTGGCTGGCTGTGTAGCTGGGTGACTGGCCCCTGATGTCTTCCTCCTTCTCTGGCCACTTCTTTGATCTTTCCTCCTCCTTTTTTTTCTCCTTCTATTTATTCTCTCTGCATGCCAGCCCTGCCTATCCTTTCTCCTGCTTCGTTATTGGCCATTCAGGTCCTTATTAGACCATCGGGTGTTTTAGACAGGCACAGTAACACAGAGTTAAACAAATGCAACATAAACAAAAATAACACACCTTAGAATAATATTCTACGACATGCCTCGCTGGAGGAGGGGCCAAGGGTGGCACTTTTGTGCAGAAAGGGGTTTCCCTGCAAGAAAAAGGCAGAGCCGGGCACTAGGGGGTGGTCTAGGAATAGGGGGCGGTAAAAGGTCTAAGTGTGAGGCCACAGCACAGAGCACCTTGGCAGGCCAGGTGACAAAGACCAGCGTGAGGACATGAAGAGGAGGGTTGGCCTGGGAGAGATGCCTAGGTAGAGAGGATGAGCTAAGGTGCAGGAGGAGCAGTACAGGTCACTCGCAGGACACGTGGCTGATGTCCCCTCAGAGATACGGAAGCAACCGGAAATGAAGGTCTACAGTACAGCGGGGACTTCGGGGGCACTTTGGAACCTGGGGAGTCTAAGGGTCCAAGAGAGCTGGAGAGCTAACCTGGGCTAAAGCAGGGACAGGAGAGCTGTGAGGCCAAGGTAGGTCCAGTTCATCTCTATTCCTCCCCTGCCCCTCCCAGATCCCAACACTGGTGGAGGAGCTGATTGCTGTGGAGATGTGGAAACAGAAGGTGTTCCCGGTGCTATGCAAGCTAGAGGATTTCAAGCCCCAGAATACTTTCCCCATATACATGGTGGTGAGCTGGGCCTTCAGAGGGTCCTGAACCATGAATGATAGCCACCAGCCCCTGTCCCTCCCTCACAGCCCAGCCCTGTCCTCTTTGGCAGGTACACCATGAGGCCTCCATCATCAATCTTCTAGAGACGGTGTTCTTCCACAAGGTGAAACATTATCCCGGCCAAGAGGCCACTTCTGTGGGCCAGCACCTGGTGAGGTACACCTGTGGGGAAGGGTATCAAATACTGAACTAGCCCCTCCCTGAACCCCAGGAGGTGTGTGAGTCAGCAGATGACAAGGTATTGGACCTCGTGGACTATTGCCACCGAAAGCTGATACTGCTGGTGGCCCGGAACGGCTGTGGTGACCCATCTGAGGAGGAACGGCCCCAGGACAGTACCCCTATGCAAGTAAGCGAAGGTTTCCTGGAGGTGGCAAACCCCCGAAGTGGGTGCTCTCAGGCCTCCACAGGCGGGGTGAGTCTGTGTGTCTCTGTTCCCACCACCAGGAGCTGCAGAAACAGGCCGAGATGATGGAATTCGAGATCTCACTGAAAGCCCTCTCGGTCCTCCGCTACATCACAGATTGCGTGGATAGGTGGGCCACCTCCAGGGCCTGGGGAATATGATAAAGGGCCGCAAGACTAGGCCTGTAGCTTCTGCTGACCCCTCTTCCTCCTACCCCTAGCCTTTCCCTGAGTACCTTGAACCGCATGCTCAGTACTCACAACTTGCCCTGCCTCCTGGTGGAGCTGCTGGAGCACAGTCCCTGGAGCCGGCGGGAAGGAGGTAAGGCCTTCTCCCACCTGCCTACGATTAACTGGCTGCTTCCAGAACATCCTTCAGGGTTAATGGAAGTGGACAGCCCGACAGCGTGCGCATTGAGGATCCCGGGATGCCTCACCCAAAATGGGGCTAGATTTTTGACTCTGAGGCCTGTGGACTCACCTTGTTCTGACAAGTCTGGTGGGCCAGGTTTCTAACCTTGCCAGGCAGCTGTTCTCAGTCCTCCAATCCACACACAAAGAGAATGCATGCGACGCCTACATCCAGTGAGCTGCTTCTCCTCCCCAGGCAAGCTGCAGCAATTTGAGAATGGCCGCTGGCAGACAGTGGCCCCCTCAGAGCAGCAAAGGCTGAACAAGCTGGATGGGCAAGTGTGGATCTCGCTGTACAACCTGCTGCTCAGCCCTGAGGCCCAAGCCCGATACTGCCTTACCAGCTTCGTGAAGGGACAGCTGCTTAAGGTGAGTTCCTTCCCCATCAGTGACCCTCCCCGCCCCCACTGCCTCCCTGCCCGCCCCTGTCCTCTTTCCATAATTGGGCTTCAGGTGACCTGAGAACTGGTGAGTGCCCCCAGCCCAACTTAGGGACTCGGTGTTTCTTGACCCTCTGGCCGGAACCTGTTTCCCAACGGCCTTCCCTGGATACCTTGCAGCTTCAGGCCTTCCTCACGGATACACTGCTTGACCAGCTGCCCAACCTGGCCGACCTGAAGGGTTTCCTGGCCCAGCTGGCCCTGGCTGAAACCCAGCCCCCTAAGAAGGACCTAGTGTTGGAACAGGTAGGCACCTAGAAAGGTAGTTGCTCGGGACCGTGGTCCACTTTGCCAGCTCCTTGCTCTCCTCTCCATTGCGTTCTCTTAGATCCCAGAAATCTGGGATCGGCTGGAGCGGGAGAACAAAGGCAAATGGCAGGCTATCGCTAAGCACCAGCTGCAGCACGTGTTCAACCCCTCAGATCAGGATCTTCGCCGGCAGGCCCAGAGGTAGGCATAGGCCAGGGTGGGGGTGCTTCCGGGCGCCGACCCGTCAGGTCCATTCAGCTCTTCTGGGGGGGCTTCCCCGCCAGGTGGGCTGAAACCTACAGGCTGGACGTCCTAGAGGCCATAGCTCCAGAGAGGCCCCGCTGTGCTTATTGTAATGCGGAGGCCTCCAAGCGCTGCTCCAGATGCCAGAGTGTGTGGTATTGCTGCAGGTAAGGGGATCCTAGGACCTTAGTCCCCCTAAGCTCCAACGCTGGGTCCCCCCACAAGCACTGTCATCCTCATGCAACCCACCCCCTGCAGGGAGTGCCAAGTCAAGCACTGGGAGAAGCACGCAAAGACGTGCGTTCTGGCAGCCCAAGGGGACAGAGCCAAGTGAAGGCTGCCGCAGCCGAGGGCCGACGGAGGAGCTCACCCAGAATGTGACTCTGAGCCTCAGGAGCTCTGCCTGGTCCCTGTCAGACCTCAATTTCCCTGGTGGTGAGCCCCGCTGAGTCAAGTAAAGCTGCAAACCACCACCACCCGACGTACACACAAGCAAAGACTCTTCACTTCCTGCCCCACCCAGCGAATGCGCAGAGAACAGAACTCGGCCGCAGCATCAGTAAACTGGCAGGCAGGGTTGGGGGGGCGTAAGCAAGGGCCGGATGTGGAGACCCTCTTCCTTTATCAGAGTAAAACGGACTCGTGAAATGAATGCATCCGTGTGGCGCTTTGCAGTTGTCGCTGGGGCCGGGGGAGGGGAGATGGAGCGAAGACTGGAAGACTGGGAAGGGGCTCTTTGGAAGCGCCCACCCCTGTGCCCCGCCCCGCCCACAAGTCCACACTGTCAGCTCGCCTCGGTTTCCATTGCGTTCTCCTCCGCTCTTTTCCCGCCGCCCTGCCTTGATCCTGGGGGCGGTGCCGAAGCGGCGGCCCGCCCTGCGACCTCGCCCGCCAGCGTCCAGTCCGGTGGAGCCCCGGCCTGACCGGGCCATGTCGGCGGAGCCAGAGCTCATTGAACTACGGGAGCTGGCACCGTCTGGGCGCATCGGCCCTGGCCGTACCCGGCTGGAGCGTGCCAACGCTCTGCGCATCGCGCCGTGCACGGCACGCAATCCGTCCCAGCAGCACGTCCCCGGTCGTGGCCACCGCTTCCAGCCTGCTGGTCCCACCACGCACACGTGGTGCGACCTCTGTGGAGACTTCATCTGGGGCGTCGTGCGCAAGGGCCTCCAGTGCGCGCGTGAGTAGCGGCCCCGCACAGTCAGCCATCACGGAACGGGAGGTCAAAGGCAGCTCGTGGCTGTGGGTCAAGGCGCAGCGGAGGGGGGTCAGCAGTGATGATCCTGCAGAGCAGGTCCGGGGTTACCTTGCCCCATCAGGGAGCGTGGTTAAAAAAATGGTTTATCACTTGTCACACTTGGTCCGTGGCTGGCGCACAGATGGGCAGAGGCAATTGCCTGTGAGGAACAAGGCGCTGTTTTCAAGTTCGTCCGTCTTTAAAGCGCTTGGACCCTTGAAAAGCCTTTGCGCCTACTTGCCCTGAGCCTACATTCCGAGGCCCGCCTCTTCCCAACGATTGGCTCACTGTGTTCCCCTCCAGATTCTTGGGTGACTTCACCCACATATGATAGGGGGCCAGAAAAAGTTAGAGCCTTGGTTAGGCGCCTTGTAAGTAGGAATTTTATTGAATCTTTAGTCAAGGTTTGTTTTGAGTCAGAGATCCAGAGGCTAAAACATGGAACACAATCACACACACAGAGGTCCTTCTGACCCCCTGGGAATTACCAGCAAACAGAAGTTACACTCACTCAGGATACGTTGTCCCCTCCGATCTCCTGTGTCTAGATCTCCTCAGACTTGAGTTCATTGTTGAAAGTGGACCTTAGGCATTGAGGTTTGTTGTTTTGTTTTGTTTTGCCACTGTTGTTTTGAGACAGCTCTGGCTGGCCTGTAACTTTCTATTCAGACCCGGATGTGATAGAGATCGACCTACCTCTGCTTCCCAAATTCCGATGTGTAGCTGGAGTTGAGAATCAGTGCTTTGAGCCATACAGGAACTTTTTTGTTTGTTTGTTTGTTTGTTTGTTTTTGAGACAGGGTTTCTCTGTGTAGCTTTGGAGCCTGTCCTGGAACTCACTTTGTAGACTAGGCTGGCCTCGAACTCAGAGATCCGCCTGGCTCTGCCTCCCAAGTGCTGGGATTAAAGGCCTGCGCCACCACCGCCTGGCACCGTATAGGAACTTAAGGTTGGCACTGTAAGTCTGTGCGTGCCTAGAGCTCATCTCATTCACTACGTGAGTCGGTCACAAATTCAGCTAGTGAAATACAGCAATTTGTGTCAGCTAGCACACGGGAGCCAGGGCTGTGATACTGCAACATTCCCAAGAGAAATAAAGACGCTCTGAGGTGAGAAACAGGACAGTTTGGGTGTTTGACCGATGAGGGAATCAAATGTAAGTGTAGGATTTTGCTTCAAACAACGGGATGAACAGTGGTAACGTCTGCTGAGATAGGAACCTGGGGGTGGGTTGAAGTCGAAGAAGAGTGAAATTTTGGCCACGTACATTTGCAATCTTTATTAGACATTAACGTGAAGGCACTACATGTAGGATCTATTCTAAAGAGGCAAATCAGTGCCACCTTGGATCTGGATCAGGTGAGTGTAGACAGAGCTGGGACAGTACCCGGGTGAGAAACCTGGGCACAACTGTTAGTCCTGGGGGCCGAGACAGCACCGATGAAGGGTCTAGCAAGGAGCTGCAGAGAGGAAAGAAGAAAACCTGGCAGTGACTGCTGTCCCCAGGAGTCAGAGGGAGCAGGCAACACATGTTAAGGATATAACGATCCTAGTAATGTATACAGAAGGCAAAACATTAGATGTGTGCATTGGGCGTTGCCATGTGTCTGTAATCCTGGCACTGGAGCAGTTGGAGGCAGGAGGATCACCGAGTTCAAGGTTACCATTTGAGGCTAACCGGAACTACATGAGACCCTTTCTCAAAAAACAAAATAGGCTTATATAAACAAGAGAAGAGGCAGATGACAAATAGAGGAAGTCGCAAATTAAACGCTTTTGTTTTCAAGTTCGTGGCAAAGTGAAGTAGTAGACGTACGGTAGGCAAACACAAGCGCCGAGCGGGATTAGATCTCTAACCTCCCCAGGCCTACAGCCACTTTCCAGAGGTGCTAGGATCTGCGCAGCAGTGGGCCGGCGGTCACGAGCTTGGGAAAAGCCGGTGCAGCCCCAGTCTGTCGGGCAGAGGCTCCCCCGCTCTGCGGGTCACTTCGCGGGGCTCCTCCGCCTCACGGCCAGCCCTTTCTGCAGACTGCAAGTTCACCTGCCATTACCGCTGCCGTGCGCTCGTCTGCCTGGACTGCTGCGGGCCCCGAGACCTGGGCTGGGACCCCGCACTGGAAAGGGACACGAACGTGGTGAGCATGGGGTCGGGGAGTGTGGGCGGGGAGGGGGCCCGGGACTCGTCCGCCCTCGGCGGAGGGCTTAGTCCGGGCGCCGCACACAGCGAACATCCCAGTTATCGACCTCCCGGCATCAGAGAGGTTGCTTCTGCCCGTGGGGTTGTCAGGAGCTGACTCCACGCAAAAGCCACGGCCCACAAACCCGCGGCCCCGAAGGCGCGCCCTGGCACGCTGCAGCGCACTTTTCACACCCCACTTCCGGCCCTGAGGCCACGCCGGTGCACATGCGCACACGCCCCGACACCGCCCTCTGGGAGGTGGGGCCGGGGAGGCGGAGCCGGGTTGAGATGCCTGGGCGATGAGGTCATTCCCCGTCGCGTTGTGTCCCCGCCCCTCGCCGTGCCCCCGCCCCTCGCCCCCCATGACACCAGCGGAGATTCTGGTTGTCTACGTCTCAGTCCTAACGGTCGTCGCGCGGCGCAGGCCTCGGCGCAAGCGCGTACAGACACGCTCACACTCACGCACGCGCCCGGGGCGGTGGTTGGAGGCTCCCCGCGCAGTGGACGAGGGATCGGGCGGGCACGGCGAGGATGGGCGAGGCTGAGACGCCTTCCTTCGAAATGACCTGGAGCAGCACGACCAGCAGTGGCTACTGCAGCCAGGAGGACTCGGACTCGGAGCTCGAGCAGTACTTCACGGCGCGCACCTCGCTGGTGCGCAGGCCGCGCCGGGACCAGGTGGGAGCCGGGGGAGCCGGGCACCGCCGGCGGGCGAGGGCGGTCGCTGGAATCCCGCCCCTCCCCGCTAAGTGGCGGCGTGGAGCGGTAGTGATGGGCAGCCTCCCCGCCTCTCCGTGAGCCTCCCGGCGGGTCCGGACGAAAACCGGCCCGGGAAAATGTGTGTCGGGCTCTCTGCTCCGAGTAGAAGCTCGGTTCCAGCGCTTACTCCGGTCCTGAGTTCCCCAGGCTTCCCTGGCTTGCGGTCACAGACTGGTTGAGCGAGGGGAAGCATCTCTGAAGCTTGGGTGGACCAGAGGCGGGCGTTCTTCATCCATGACTAAAGCCAGCCTCAGCCCAAACCGGCGTCTTGGTTTCGCATTTGGGCACTCCTACTCCCTCCCTGGGGGAAATAAGGAAGTGGAGGAGGAGTCCGCCGGGAAGTGAGAAGTTTGTTTGGGAGGTGACTCTGTCCCTTCCATTTTCAGTCTTGGATCAGCTAGACTAGTCCCCAGCCATTGCTGGGCCAACTCTGCTACCAGCTGCTGGAAAGTGGACCATTTTCCGGTCTTCCTTCCAGGGTGGAACTTTGGAGGGGTTTGGGGAATATAGTTAAGAGGGCCCTCACTTTGGACTTTAAGCATTAGGAACATTTTACCCATAGGGAGCAGGAAGACTCTAAAATGCCCCGAGAAGGATATCTACTTGAAGACAGCAAGTGGGGTACCAGGGCAGCTGAATCTCTAGAGTCTCCTAGATGTACCAAATTATCACAGACTTTCCAGGGAATATCGTGATTGGGACTACCAACCTCAGATAAGTTGTTCTTGAGCCAGAATACCTCAGAAGAATACCTCAGGGGCCAGGGCATCAGGAAAGTGAGGTGGAGACCGAAGCTTAGGAACCTTAGCAGCAAAGGAGAATTCCTTATTTGGGCCAAAAAAAAAATTGTTGTCTGTGGTGTTGTAGGAAAGATTTGACACACATTTCTTACAGATGGGCTGCTACTTGACACCCCCAAAACCTTAATTCAGACTGTACATTCAATGTGGACCCCTGGGACTGTCTCCATGCCACTCAGCCCGAGTCCTCTTCTATTACAGAAAGGTGGAAAAAACACAAGATAGTAGCCAGCTGAAAATATATAAAGAATTGTTAAAAAGCCGCAGAAGTTTGTAGCAAGCTCAGTTGGAGAGTCCTTAGCTAGCTTGCATGAAAGCCTGGCTTCCGTCCACAGCACCATTAATGAACAAATAAATACAAATAAATGAAGCCAAGAAGTCCCAAAGGGTAAATAAAGTAGAATCATGAGTGCTTGCCCAGCATGTGTGAGGCTGTGGGTTCAATCCCCAGCTGAGACCTTGTGAGACCTTCCCCTGGGACAAGGCATTGGTCAGTGGCAATCCCCGCTGCTTTTGTTCCAACCAGGACCTTTCTGATGTCAACAGGAAGTAAGACTGAGGCAGTGAGGTCAAGTGAGTGTGAGTTTGGTAGGGGAAAACCAATTCCGAGTCCCGCCTGCTCTGACCCACAGCAAAACCCCAGTCCCTGAAGCTAAAGTCTTCAGGCTAACTTTCCAGACAGCAAGGGGAAGAGCAGCCTGCTTGGTAGGACGTCCTCTGCCAGAAAGGTGCCCAAACACCTCTGGCAGATTGGAACCTGGCTTAACACTGCTTTTTGTGTGGCTTGAGTCAAGGGTAAATGGTATGTCACAGTGATTTCCTCCCTGTGTGAGATGTGGTGGGGCTGGCCCCACGGAACCCACTAAGGCATGTTAACATGGAGACCACCTTTCCCCTCCTGCCCACGGTAGTTGGACTACTGATGTGTATCAGCTCCCATGCTTCCGACCCTGCAGTGGTCATGTTCTGTGCTAATACAAAGTGGGAGAGTGGGCTGCCTTCTCCAGAACAAACTGACCCAACTAGTGTTCTGGGATCAGTTATGCAGTTGAGATGTGCTTTGAATTTTATTGGGGGGTGCATACTGGGGATTGAAGGGCAGGCCTTTCACGTCCTAGGCAAGTACTCTGTCACTTCTATCCCCAAGAAGTGTTTTTACTTTAAACAGCATCCTCCCTAATGGTCCTTCAGGGCTTCCTGGCCCCTTGCCATGCACCTTTATTTGTCTTTATTTCTGTAATGTTGTTAGGGGCCACAACTGTTGCTGAGGTCTCTCTCTCTCTCTCTCTCTCTCTCTCTCTCTCTCTCTCTCTCTCACACACACACACACACACACACACGCACACACGCGCGCACACACACCCCGCAGCAGACGAAGCAGAAAGCCTTTCTTTGCCATCTCCTAGGACCGGTGATGGGTGCAAGGTGTATGGATTTGGTGACAGAACCAAAATCAAGATCCAAGGGGTGTTCCGGCTTTTTTTCTTTCCCTCCAAAAAAGCCTTGCACTTATTAAGGGCCCTGTATCCATGTTGGTCTGTCTTTTAGGATGAGCCTGTACAGCGGGAGACACCCGATCTTTCTCAGACTGAGACTGAGCAGAAGATCAAGGATTACAATGGCCAGATCAACAGCAACCTCTTCATGAGCCTGGTGAGTTGACTGCTCAGGCGAGGAGTGTGGGGAGGAGCAGAGCCCGCTTTATGCCACATGGCCAGAGTCGTAGCCAAAGTGTTCTTGGTTGGCCACGCAGTGATCTATGCATACCTGGCCCAGCCCCCGGTGGACTCAACCCTAGCCTCTTCCATCTGCAGGAGAACTTGCCGTCCTAGTATGGTTTTTCTTTCTCTTTTTTAGAACAAGGATGGCTCCTACACAGGCTTCATCAAGGTGCAGCTGAAACTGGTACGTCCTGTCTCAGTGCCTTCCAGCAAGAAACCACCTTCTTTACAGGACGCCCGGCGGGGCACAGGGCGGAGCACAGCTGTGAGGCGCCGCACCTCCTTTTACTTGCCTAAGGATGCTATTAAGCACTTGCATGTTCTGTCACGAACACGGGCACGTGAGGTCATTGAGGCCTTGCTTCGCAAATTCATGGTAGTAGATGATCCTCGCAAGTTTGCACTCTTTGAACGAACTGAACGCCATGGCCAAGGTAGGTTTCCCATCGCAGCTCTCCCTGTGTAAGGGTATATATCGCATATCTGTGCACTCGGGCTGGGCATCTCAGCCTGTTTCTAATTCTTTATCCTTTTCCCTCTGCCTGACCTCCAGTGTACTTCCGGAAACTGTCAGACGATGAACAGCCCTTGAAGCTCCGGCTTCTTGCAGGGCCTAGTGAGAAGGCCCTGAGCTTTGTCCTGAAAGAGAATGACTCTGGGGAGGTGAATGTGAGTACACAGTCTATTTTCTTACCACTAGACGGAGCCGGTAGATGGACTACAGTGAGGGCTTCAGGAGAACTGGGCTAGAGAACAAGCCCTGCACAAAGCTCTCCATATGCAGGACCTGGAATGACAGTGGAGGGAGGCTTCCCGGACCCTCCAGCCAGGGTCAGAGCCCAGTCCAAGAAACTGGGAAGAAGCCGAATCTAGTGGTTCATGCTTGCAGTTGAGGTACTTGGGAGCTGAGACAGGAGGATTGCTAGGAGTTTGGGGTCAGTCTGGGCCACAAAAACAAGCTAGGAAGATTTGTCCTAGTGCTCTGTTGTTTCCTGGTATGGAAAGTCCTCCAAAGATCAAGGGATTGACTCATGGTGAGCCAAGACAAGTTCAGAGCTACACAGGATGGCCTTAGAGACGGCTCAGCAGTTAAGAGTACTTGCTGCTTTTTCAAAGACGCAAGTTCTGTTCGGAGCACCCATTTTGGATGGCCCACTTCTAAGTACAACTCCAGATCCAAAGGATTTGACTTCCTCTTCTGGCTTCAGAGGGTTCCTATACTTATGTGCAGATAACCCCACACAGACACACACATACACAAAATTAAAACAATGGGCTAGAAAGATGGTTCAGTGGTTAAAAGCACTTATTGCTTGTGCAGAGGACCCAGATTAGGTTCTTAGTAGCATCCACATAGAGGCTTACAGCTATCCATAATTCTAGACCATGTACACAGTGCACATAATATGCCCACAGGCAAAACACTCATACACAATTTTTTTATGTGTATGAATTTTTGCCTGCATGTATATATGTGTACATATGTGTACTCATGTCCATAGAAGTCAGAAGAAGGTATTAGCTCCCCTGGAACTAGAGTTACAGATGATTAGAAGCCACCATGTGAGTGCTGGGAATTAAACTCTGATCCTCTGCAAGAGCAGCCACTGAACCATCTCTCCATCCCCTAAAAATAAATCTTAAAGAGAAGAGCTTCACAGGTATAACTGGAACCAGGAAGGCCTTCTTTGAAGCATTAAGACTTTTTACCAGCTAGAACTGGTGGCACAGGCCTGTAGTCTCATCTGCTTGGGAAGCTAAAGCCAAGAGTATTGCCTGAAGTTCAAGACCAGACTGGGGTACATCAAAAAACCACTCTTGCTGGGCGATGGTGGCACATGCCTTTAATCCCAGCACTCGGGAAGCAGAGGCAGGCAGATCTCTGTGAGTTCGAGGCCAGCCTGGTCTCCAAAGCGAGTTCCAGAAAAGGCACAAAGCTACACAGAGAAACCCTGTCTCGAAAAACAAAAAGAAAAAGAAAAAAACAAAAACAAAAAAAGCAAGTTGAGGAGGAAAGGGTTTATTTGGCTTACACTTCCACATCATAGAAGTCAGGACAGGAACTCAAACAGGGCAGGAACCTGGAGGCAGGAGCTGATGGCAGAAGCTATGGAGGGTGCTGCTTACTGGCTTGCTCCTCCTGGCTTGCTGTGCCTGCTTACAGAACCCAGGACCACCGGCCCAGGAGTGGTACCACCCACAATGGGCTGAGTCCTTCCCCATCAATCACTAATTAAGAAAATGTCCTTCAGCTGGATCTTATGGAGGCATTTCCTCAAGGTTTCCTCCTTTCAGATAACTCTAGTTTGTGTCAAGTTGACCTAAAACTAGCCAGCACAATTCAGTTCCCACTAATGCGAAAGAAAAGACTTTAGTGTATGGCCCAGTGGTAAGAATATATGGTTGGCATGCATAAAGCCCAGCAGCAAGAGAAAAAAGTCAGGGGTGGGTAAAACGGGCTGCCTGGGAATGTAGCTTTGGAATAAAGAAAAATGGAGCTTGCTTCATTTATGAGACCCTGGGTTTGATTCATAGCCCATTGTATTGGGGGGATGGGACGCACAACAGTAGATATTTGAGAACATCCTGATTTTTTTGTCCCTCTATGAGGTAACTATTTTGTAGGTTCTGTCTGCTATGCAGACTGCTCATGAGGATCCCAGAACAGACTATTTAGAGCCTAACATCAGCCTAGCACAGTGATACATACTGTAGTCGTAGCATTCAGGAAGCAGAGAAGGAAAATCACAAATTTGGGCTGGGCTACATAGCAAGTTCAGGGCCAGCCTTTGATTTGTGGCAAGACTGTGACTCAAAAAAACAACAGAAAAGGGGGCTAAAGAGTTGGCTTAGTGGTTATGAGCATGTGTTGCTCTTACAGAGGACCTGGGTTTGATTCTCACAACCATCTGTTTGTGACTCCAGTCCTGAGGGATCTGATGCCCTCTTCTGACCTCCATGTGGCACCAGACATACACATACACATTGTGTGTGTGTATAAACACCCATACACATAAAAGAATTAAAAACAATAACAAAACCAAAACAGGTAAAGTTGGGGAATGAAAAAGAAGGTAGTATCAGGAAGCCCAGTCCTAAGTTGTGGACCATGAGGCACCAGTCTCTAAGGAGGGTCTGCCGACTTAGCCATTTCTTGCTGTGGCCCATCTCTCTCTCCTCTGCCCCTCTGCAGTGGGATGCCTTCAGCATGCCTGAACTGCACAATTTCCTACGTATCCTGCAGCGGGAAGAAGAGGAACACCTCCGACAGATCCTGCAGAAGTATTCTCGGTGCCGCCAGAAGATCCAGGAAGCCTTGCATGCCTGCCCTTTGGGGTGACCTTTCGTGTCCCTGGGTGGCAGGAGGAAAATAGGCAATGCGAAGAGCGTGCCGTGTGAGTGTGATAGGGCCCGTGGGGCCTGAGGAATGAGTGTGCGTGGAGGTTCTCCTCTGCTAAGGGAATGAGCCCAGAGACAAGGGAAGGAGCTGGCCCTCTACCAGGGGGTCTCGTGGGGCATGGCTTTGCAGCCCTCTGCCCTCGTATACTGGGTCATACTCTGGGTAGCTGCTCCAGGCTTTCATCAGGGTCTCAGCCGTGAGAATCTTAGAGACTCTACAAACAGAACCAGGTTATGTTTGCAGGGCTGAGGGCCCTTATCTATGGAGAAAGATTGTTCTGGGTGGTGAATAAGTCTCAGGGTAGCCAGTCAGAGCCCAGGGTACCTGCTCAGAATAATACAGGCGTTACGGTAGGGTCTGTTTCCTCTTACAGTGCCTTATGACTTATACACATCCCCTGAGGTCAGGGAAGGCTGGCAAGTCCAGCCACAACGCCTCAGCGCCGCCTCTAAGGAAGATGTTGCTGAACCAGACCCACTTCTTGTTTGCCAAAGCCAGAGTCTCCCTCAGATAGTTTTGATGGAAGTGTATGAATGTATGTAATGCTTTGTGGCCTCAACTGAATGCCTCCTGTGGGGAAAGGGATGGGGGTGTGACAGTCATCATCAGGGCCTGAGACCTGAGAGAATTGGCTGAATAAAGATTTAAGAATTTTTCTGGTTTTGGACTCTGTAGATGTGGGCCCACAGTCAGGGCAGGACCTAATGAGAATGACTGCCAACAGTGATGGACACACACACACACACACACAGTGCATCCTTTCCACGGTCACAGTGGGACCAATGTTAGGAGATCTATGCCTATGGATTTGGGTATCTGTCAACATTGGGGCCCAGGTCATGGTGGAGACAAGAATAAACTACAGGTAGAGCACACGGGAACTATTTCTCTCAGTTAGTGCCTCAGAGAAACCATAGCAATAACCCCTTCACCAAATAACTACCTGAATACAAAACAACATTCCACACGCTACAGGGTACAGCTGCTAACCAATTCTTGTTTTCCTGAAGTGTGTTATCTGGTACATTTACAACACTTAATTTAACCTCAAATGTAGTCATAAGAAATTTGACCAAAAAGTTTTCAAAGATATTTTGGCCCCCTGCATAGCTGCTCCTGCTTTAATCCCAGCATTTAGGAGGCAGAAGCAGGTGGACATGAGTTTGAAGCCAGCCTGTTATACACAGCAGGTTCCAGGCCAGCTAAGGCCACATAGTGAGACCTTGTCTCAAGAAAACGAAAGACATTTACCGAGTTCCTTAATTTCCTTATGTACAAAGGTAACCACTGCAAAAACAGTTGTGAAAACAAGCTAAATGTATCCTAGCCTGAGGCAGGCCTAAAGTCCCTTTGGGGGTGGCGGGGTGACCTAATTGAGTATTGCCACTGGGCCCAAGTGTTGGGCGTCAGGGACTTTGGGACACTCCTACCCGGCCCGACCTTAAAGTCCATAACAACACATTACCTCCGCTTTTCGGGGAGGGAGCTGGCCCAGCTGACCCTCGGGACCCAAAGCCTTCTGGGACCTGGAGGCAGCGCATCCTGGGGTGTTCATCCTCCGAGGGTGCCCATTGGTTCGACTTCACAGACTGACGAGCTCTTCAGCCACTCAGAGGAAGCAGCGTGCAGGGCGGGCGGAAGCGGAAGTGAGGTTTCCGTGGAGACAGCGGAGCCTGCGGAAGGCGGCGGCGGCGGCGGCACCTGTGAGTGGAGGCTGGGGCAGGGCATGGTCGCGCCCGCCGCGCTGTGAGAGCGGAGCGGCCGCTGGGTCCGCCATGCGCCCGCGGCGCTGACATGGGCGCCAGCGGCTCCAAAGCTCGGGGCCTCTGGCCCTTTGCCTCCACCCCGGGGGGCGGCGGCCCCGAAGCGGCAGGCGCCGAGCAGTCTTTGGTGCGGTCTCGAACCCGAGCGGTGCCCCCCTTCGTATTCACGCGCCGCGGGTAAGGGCATGGGTGTCTGCCTTGGGGAGGACAGCCGGGAGCGAGGAACGCCCCCACCCCCGTTTCATTCAGGACGACTGTCATGTTTTGGGTCCCCATCAGAGCGAAGGGAGGGGAAAAGCAAGTGGCGTGCCGCTCCTGACAGCCCAGAAGGTCTCTTTAGAGAAGAGTTGGCTGAGGCTTGTCCCTTGGGTAGAAGCTCTCCCATAATCCCGCAAAGACGGTCTCTGGGAGTCTTAAAATCTTCGTTTCATCCAGCTCAGCCTGCAAATTAAAGACATTTAGGTACCTCTTACTCTTCTAAGCCTTAATCCAAGGGGGAAATGACCTTCTGTTTGGGTGTCTTGCTCTCCCCACAGTGAAGTTGGACCTCTGAGAGTAATTGTCTGTTAAAGCAGAGCCAGGCTTCAGTGCTGAAGGTGAGGCCACCGAACAAAAGGCCCTCGCCCAGTTGGGTTCTCTAGACCTGGAGCACTAACCCTCTTTTTCCCCAGGGGCTCACACAAAACGGCCTGGACCTAGTGGGCTCCTAGGGACTAACACTCCCTGTAACGGGAATTTGACCGTAAACACCAGAAAGACCCAACCAACAGCGTGGATTAGGCCGTACCAACCAGCTGGGAATGAGCGGGAGTTAGTGCAGCCTTCCTGGCTCAAACATCCACGGTCTTGGTCTTTGGCTCTGAACTAGCCGTCTTTAGAAGTGAGACCACTATGCCCAGGCCCCACTTTATAAGCTCCATATGAAGGGCCTGCCACTGAATAGTTACCCTTGGGGAACAGACCAGCGATAAGAATTGGCTTTGGTTGCCTAAACAGTGTGCCCTGAGAAGACCTCCTGTGAGTGTGATGGTAACGGTGACATTGCTGACCTTTCCACTTTTCTATGGCTCCAAGCACCAAGCAAAGAGCCCTTCGGGCACACTAACTAGTCTTCCCCCAAGATTAAGATCGTGCCTCTTCATCTGCGGTTCAGCCCACTTCCCTGTGGTCGGTGGCCTTGGCCATGACCAGGTGTGAGACTCCAGCCCAGCCTGATTCCTTTTCTACACAGCTCCATGTTCTATGATGAAGACGGGGATCTGGCTCACGAGTTCTATGAGGAGACAATCGTCACCAAGAATGGGCAGAAGCGAGCCAAGCTGAGGCGGGTCCATAAGAATCTGATTCCTCAGGTGAGGGGCTGGGCGGCGCCATAACCTCCATCAGTGCCTCAGCATGGACTAGATGGGGCTGCCTGGGGGAGGAGCTGGGAGGGTGCCTGGCATCGAGGCCTGAGCTGCTCTTCACTAGGCTCTGTTTCCATGGCAGGGCATCGTGAAGCTGGATCCCCCCCGAATCCACGTGGATTTCCCTGTGATCCTCTATGAAATGTGAGCCTGTGGCATGGCAGACACAAGCACCCACTGCCCCAGCAAGAAACTCCCAGGCTCAAGGTGTAGCTTCCATTCAGGAGTCCAGGCTGGTGCCACAACCCCGAATAAACTAAACTCCGTTGGCCCAGAACCGTCAGTTGTGAAAGGGGCAGTCCCTCAGTGTTAACTGGTGTTGGTTTATGTCTGAACAGTAAGTGGCCGGTGGCTGGTGAGGGCTAATGGCAGAATCGCCGGCCCATTTCCCAGCCACTTGTGGGAGAAGCATGGCGGGGCATATGCTGGTCAGGAATGCCTGGTTCCTCGTTCCTTGCCTGACCTGCTTTCTTCCAAGCTTGCCTAGGGCCCAGCCCTCCTAGAAGCTACAGCACGTTACAAGCAGAGTCTGCCTTCTTCCAGCCCTGGGCTCTAGGGGCTGTACCCAGGTGGGAACTTCCTTCCCTCACTTCCCCGTGCCCCTAGTCAGAGCATTTCAGCCGTTTGCTACCTCGATTCCTCCTGTATGGACAGAGACTGGGGATAGGACCAGCCTCAGTCTTCCTGCCTACCTGCCATGTGTCCCCACTCTGAGATGGACAGTTTGCTGGCCGTTAAATAAGACGGGGACCAGCGTAGGAGGCTTCTCCTATCACCCAGAGCTGGACTGATCTCTCTTGATTTCAACCAGTTGCGCTCCCCCAAGTTGAGAGGGTGCCGGCCGGGGTCAGGACAGGCCGTGGATGCCTGTGCCTGTGGGGACTGGCCCCACACCACATATTCTGTCTAATCTCGTCTTTGCACCAGTCCCACCCATCCCCAGCTGCGGGGGAGGGGCTGTCCACCACCCAGCGGTAAGAAGCCACACACACACACACCCGGGGCTGGTGCCAGTAGCTATGAGGAGCCCATCACCCCTTCTACAGTATCTTCACCTCTTCAGGGTCAGTTAAGGGAAAGTACTGGAGCTCCTTGGTAAGGATCAGAAGAAGGGAAAAATACAGAAAAGGGGTAATTAAAATGTGAAGGTTTGTAAATAGTCTAGACTATGATAATGTTGGGGCAGAGTCTGATTTCTATATAGAGATGGCTTTAAAAAAAAAAAATCCTTATTTGTGGAAGCTCCGGGCTTCTAGACTGTGGGAAATGGCTTGGGGAGGGTGGTCCCCAGCATAGGAAGACTGTTGTGTTATTTGTTCAATTTCAATAAAATTATTTGTAGACCCTGCACATGAGAGTGCCTTCCAGTGAAGCTTTAACACCCAATTTCTAGACTGCTGCTTAGCTGCTTAGGTAGGCCTCTGGCCCTGGACGCTGCCAGGCTGGCAAGCCCCCCCTCTAGGCGCCAGTGGTAAGTCCAAACATTGCCTGTAGCAATACCAGCCATGGCCAACAGGTGGCTGTGTTCACACACCATCTCCAGCCCTCTCAAGGTTCTGGGAGCGGCTCACCTGTCGTGCTGGGACCCTTGTGGAGATTTGCTCAGCTGCCTTACCTAAGGGGTGAGTGTGACCATACATAGCTGTGGGATAGTTCTCGTCCCAACACTACCATATTATCTCAAGTGAGGTTACAGCTTAAGCCCCATGGACCTCAAAGTGCCAGCTCCAGTTGAACAGCAACCAGACACTTCCCACCAGGCCCTTGGCCTCCTACCAGGCTCTGGAGTCCACACTCACCTGCCTCTTCCCAGTTAGCCATGGGTCAGATGAGCTCAGGCTTCTGCTGCAGCTGCTGTTGTAAGGCTCTGTCGACCCAGTACTTCCTCAGCTCTCTGCTGCCAATGCACATTCTGCCTACACCTCTCAGGGTATTCTGTGAGCAGGTTCTCTGCTAGGCCTAGCCTTTGGCCATAAGCTCTAGAACTTCCAATTAGGAAGGAGGAATTCATCAACCCAGGGTCAGGGCAGTTGGCCTTGAATTGCTGCAGGGCTGGAACTTGTCAAGTCTCCAGAAGGATCACCCTGGGTAGCCTAGACTCCCAGTTCTGTGGACTGATTTCCATCCCCTGTAATAAGTCAGGCTTAAGGCCCCTTGGTCAGGGCGTCCTGTTCAGGGGCCAAGGCTCCCCATATCAGACAGTGTCCTATCTCCTACACCACCATCCTGCCCGGGGGAACTCCCTGTTCTGGACCTGCTTAGCTGACCCCAAAGCTATAAACAATAGAGGCGTCAGGGCAGAGTTTCCCCACTCCATCCCATCCGGCTGGGCTGGGCTCACTTCCTTCCTGCTGGCTGCCTAAGGAAGTGTCCCTGCCCTGGACAGTCTGGCCTGGCCTTTGTTTTCCCGGGGGTCCCCACCCTTGGTGCTTCCTAGACTTTTGTCCCTTACGAAGCCAGCACAGCGGTTCAGGGGTGCTCCTGGGGAGTACCGCAGGCTAGGCTCTACCCCCAGCTGCCATACAGCTCGTTATTAGCAGAGGGACTCCCTAGCACTGGGGAGGCGAGCCACTTGGGTTCTGAGGGGTGGGTGGTTCAGGGTGATTTGAGAGCTAGTCTTCAGGGGCTCCTATTGTGAGCTCCCTCTCCCACAGGGGCACACTGAAGTGTAAGAAGCCTCTTACCCCAAAGAGCCTCCTAGGTCCTGCCCCTCCACACACACACACCCCACTCCCATATCACACAGGCACAGACATCAACACATTGTCACATTGTCGTCTTTGACATACTTCAGATACTTCCGCTCTCAATGGAAAAAAAACTGACTCAGTTACTGGAAGACCCCACCCCACCCAGGTTTCCCCCTCACACGAGATGGTTTCCTTCTTTGGCACCTGCCCTAGGGGACCTAAACAACCCAGCAAACAGTGTGACTCCCATGAATACGCCACTTGGTTTCCCCTCACTACTGGACTGGCGATGATTGAAACTTCAAGGAGATGAGCGCCTGACCCTAGGCCCAGATCCTTCCTGTCACCTGCCACAACTCCTGGGTCCAGATCCTACTCAGAGGAAGGGTGCAAAGGGCAGCCAGCCAGCAAGGGAAACAGGGTCAAGGGGCTCTCCTCCCCCGCCCCTGTTCCTGTCCCTTTCCGCCCAGAGGGGCAGCAGGAAGTGAGGAGAAAGGGCAGGGATGGGAGGCGGGAGTGGGTGGGAAGGAATGGGGTTTATCAAACCCCCAGCAGGCTGCCCATAGGGCAGCAGCTGGTGCAAGTAGCCTGGCTGGAGAGACCCACCTCAGGAAGAAGGGAGCTCCCACTACAGGTGAGCCCAGAGAAGACCACATAAAGCTGGTCTTAGCGCTGCCATAGATGCGCTTGGCGCTCCCTGGCTTTCAGGCATGCGGGCGGGCAAGGGGCTGGCAGCGAGATGCCTGCGGGATGCCTGCGGGCTTTCGGGGAGCTGAGTGGGGCCGTGGAGAGCACGAGACGAGGGAACTGCTCTAAGCCTGCTCCCTGCCAGAAGGGGATTGCAAGGCAGAAGCGTTCAGAAGATGGAATAGAGGCACTTGGGGAGCCTCTGCAGCCTCCTTTCCACAAAGTCCGGCCTGAAACTCGTGCGAATTGCACTTTATTTGGAGTTGAGTGGGAGTCCCCCTATGGACAACCGTCCCACCTTCACCTCGCCGCAGAGACGGGACCCGAGAGAATCCAGGGGATTGGCCTGCCCTGGTGTGGATCCGGAGAAGGCGGGCGGGTAGACCACTCTCCTCTTAGGCCAGGCTGAACCTCAGCCCCTCTGGCGACTCAGCTATCCACCCCTGGTTACCAGGACAACGGCTGTGTCGGCTTTGCCAGAGGAGGGCTCCGAGGCCTCCTAGGCCCCCTCCTCTAGACAGGCAAGGGGCGGGGCTTCCCTCTGACCACAAACTAGCGTAGGCAATCTAGGATCCGAGAAGGCGGATCACTAATGTCCCAAGAGGCTCCGGATCCACTCAGGTCAAAATCTCTTACACTACACAAAGGGCCCACACTGCTAGAGTCCAGAGTCAGGCATGTGGGACTGACTTCGCAGCTACCCCTAGTTAAGGCCTCGGCCATAAGCCTTTTTATTCCACATGCCGCCGCCACCCCCTCCGCGCGCGCCGGCCCGCCCCATCTAGTATTCTGTCCCTTTAAGAGGCCGGCTGCGCAGAGTGGATTGGTCCACTGGAGACAGACCGCGGGGGTACGACCTCAGGCTGGCTCGCTCTGGCGACGGAGACTCTAGCGGGGATCCCGATCCCAAGAGGCATCAGATCTCAGATAGACGACTGTGTTCCTCTACAGAAGATCTGAGGGTCCTCGAACTCGAAACGCAACACTGGAAGAAAGGAAGGCGAAAACACCCTCCCCACGAGGCCGCAAATCCTGCCGTCGGCCCACCTCCGAGGCTAGATTCTTAAAGGGCCCGCGGGCCTCGGGGCGGAGCCAGCAGAGGCTCGAGCTGGGGCAGTGCTTGGGCGAAGGGCCGGAGCGGGCTTGGCTGGTACCAGGATGGCGGCGGCCCTGGCGTGGGTTCTGGTGGCGCCTGGTGCGAGGTGAGGGCGGGCGTTGCAAGCCTGGTGACTCTCTCCCTGTGAGCTGGGCTCTGCATCTCTAGGGGAGCCTTCATAAATGACCCAGGGACCCCACCCCCACTCGGGTGAACTCTGGCCCCACGTGCGGGGCGGGGGCGGGGTCCCGCACAAAGACCAGGAGGAATACCCTCCACTCGGGACCCCTTGTGCTGGGGAGTGAAGATGTAGGCTGGTCGCGAGGGCTCGCACAGAATCTCGGTGGCTGTGGAGAGCACCGCGGAGCGGAGTCCGCTGCCCCTTTGTCCCCCGGGCGCCTACTCCAAGCCAGGGACAGTGTCGGTGCCCAAGACTTAAGTCCTAACAGCCTCACTCTTGTGCTTGGAGCGTGGTCGCACGGATGCCAGTTCCTCTGCAGTGTTGATAAGAGCGTCTCAGCGTCTGTATGCATTGTGCCCAAATGCTGACCCTTCTCTGAATCGAGAGCTCTTAATGTGGGGTGGGGGCCTGCAGGGTGGAGCTTGGGTTCACGGTGTTCTAAAACAATGTGCTGTGTGCTATGTAGCCGTGTAAGTGACTCTGGCTGTGAGTCTGTAGCCTAACTCGTCCCGTTTCCAGAAGGGACACAGACCCAAAGGAGACTCTTGCCCAGCCACAGGCCGCTCCAGAAAGGACTCTGGTTTGGGTAGAGTACCTAGGGTCTCTTGCCTACCCTTCAGTAGCCTGCTAGCTCTCCAACCTGTTCGTTACAGGCTTGGCAGTCTGAGCAGGACCGTGGTGTGCGGCACAGTGTGTGTCTGGGGAGTGTGGATGGGATTACGGCGCACATCTCGGAGTTATCTCATTTGTTCTCTTCCCCCCACTTCCTTCAGTTCCTGAGCTGCTCCCAGGCAGGTGACACTTGCCGTAGCCCCCAGCATGCGGGCAGGACTGGGTCCCATCATCACACTGGCCCTAGCGCTGGAGGTAACATGGGCCGTGGATCTTAAGCCCACAGTGCCGCCCATCTTCACTGGCCGACCCTTTGTGGTCGCGTGGAATGTGCCCACACAAGAATGTGCCCCACGCCACAAAGTGCCCCTGGACCTTAGGGCCTTCGATGTGGAGGCCTCACCTAATGAGGGCTTTGTCAACCAGAATATCACCACCTTCTACTACGACCGTCTAGGCCTGTATCCACGTTTTGATGCGGCTGGGATGTCCGTGCATGGTGGTGTGCCTCAGAACGGCAGCCTCTGTGCACACCTGCCCATGCTGAAGGAATCTGTGGAGCGCTACATTCACACCCAGGAACCTGGGGGGCTGGCGGTCATTGACTGGGAGGAATGGAGGCCTGTATGGGTGCGAAACTGGCAGGAAAAGGATGTGTACCGACAGTCTTCGCGCCAGCTGGTGGCCAGTCGACACCCTGACTGGCCAACAGACCGAATAGTGAAACAGGCACAGTATGAGTTTGAGTTCGCTGCTCGGCAGTTCATGTTGAATACACTACGTTACGTCAAGGCGGTCCGACCTCAGCACCTCTGGGGCTTCTACCTCTTCCCCGACTGCTACAATCATGATTATGTACAGAACCGGGAGAGCTACACAGGCCGCTGTCCTGACGTGGAAGTGGCGCGCAATGACCAGCTGGCCTGGCTCTGGGCCGAGAGCACGGCTCTCTTTCCCTCTGTGTACCTGGATGAGTCGCTGGCTTCCTCCGTACACAGCCGCAACTTTGTCAGTTTCCGTGTGCAGGAGGCCCTGCGTGTGGCGCACACCCACCATGCACACCACGCTCTCCCGGTGTACGTCTTCACCCGCCCCACGTACACCCGAGGACTCAAAGGACTTAGTCAGGTAATGTATGTGTCCCAGGGCGCTGCCCCTGCCTTCCCCGAGAGCCACTGCATGCTTGGGTTATCGGGGCAAACGTGCTAGAGCTCACTGCCTGTTCCACATCTCTGAGTCCTGTGGAAGGGTGATGTCACCCGCAGTCTGTAGATAAGACTGAGGTCCGGAGAATTAGCCCAGAGCCTCTAGAAAGTCTGTGAAAAGGTGCACAGAATCCAGGCCAGTCGCCCTGACTTTGGAGTCAGAATGAATGTGTGCCCCTGCCGTTGTGGGCTAATATGTGCTCTTGGCTTTGGAGAGGAAGGTTCAACATGAGGGTGGAAACGGGAAACCAAAGCAGCTGCTGCCTGGAGGCATCCGGGGCAAGGCCGCACTACGGCCAGCAGGTTAGGCCAGGCCTGCCCCTCTTCTCCTGTCTGGTGTCAGTCTCCCTCAGTAATCATCCCTTCCCACACAGATGGACCTCATCTCTACCATCGGCGAGAGTGCAGCCCTGGGCTCAGCTGGTGTCATTTTCTGGGGCGACTCAGTGTATGCTTCAAGTATGGTAAGAGAGACCTCCCCAGCCTGCCAAACCGGTGGGAAATTCATACTCTGACTTCCACGCTCACCTTGTTATACAGACTGAGTCCAGCTTGTCTGTGGCCTAAGCATGAAGGCTTTGCCCTTGAACCCAATGGAGAAGAAGGGAATCCCCCCCACACCCCGTTTCCAGGAAAAGGAAATGCTGTCCTGAACAGCTAGAGTTCCATCCTTCCTCATCTGCACAGCTGGGTTCCAGTCTGTCTCCACCCCACTTCTCACTAGGGACAGGGGACTGTAACTGTGTATATGATGTGCGCGAATGGATACAGATAAGTGTGCCAAGGATGAGGTTCAGCAAGAGCACTTGTCTAGTCTAGGGTTCCAACTCCACTACTGCCAAAAGAGATGCTGTTTCTATCAGGGCTTTGGGCTGAGGCGGCTAACATCTGATGCTCACCTGTTAATCTTGGCCTCTTCCTCCAGGAGACCTGCCAGTACCTCAAGAATTACCTAACACAGCTGCTGGTCCCCTACGTGGTCAATGTGTCCTGGGCCACCCAGTACTGCAGTTGGACCCAGTGCCACGGCCATGGGCGCTGTGTGCGCCGCAACCCCAGCGCCAACACCTTCCTGCACCTCAGTGCCAGCAGCTTCCGCCTAGTGCCTGGCCGGACCCCTGATGAACCCCAGCTTCGACCTGAGGGGGAGCTCAGCGACACCGACCTCAGCTACCTGAAGACACACTTTCGCTGCCAGTGCTATTTAGGCTGGGGTGGCGAGCAGTGCCAATGGGACCATAAGCAGGCGACTAGAAGTGACAGTAGAGCCTGGGCTGGGTCCCACGTCACCAGTCTGCTGGCTTTGGTAGCCGTGGCCTTTACCTGGACCTCATAAGGGGGGGTCTTCCTCCCCCTTTCCCCCGCTCCGGGATATCAGTCCAGCTGGCCTCTGGCACAAGGATCTGGGCATGAGAAGCCTGTTAGAGGGTAGACAAATGAATCTGGCGTGGGCAGAGCCCCTGGGATGCCTAGCAGGCATCCATCCCAGCTGTCACCCCCCTGTTCTAAGGGGGAGAGAAGAATCCTCTCATCTTGCCAGAGGAGGAGGAGGATGCAGCTAGGCCAGGGAGGGCCTGACTCTACTCCCCTGCTCCTGGGTAGTTTATAATTTTGGGGTCTCTTTTGTAAATTAAATATAAAACAACTTCTGTGCTTGGTTTTTCTCCTTCTGGGCTACTGTGTGTGCGAGAGAGCCCAGGGTTGTCCATGAGGATAAGCTCAGCTCTGAGTCCCTCAGCTGTGTGTTGGCTCTGGCCTAAGGAAGCAGACTCACCGACTCTGCTGAGGCAGGACCCACTAGAGGAGGGTTTACACTCTACCCTAACACCAATCTCACTCTATCTTGATAGGAATGGAGTTGGGCCCACCAGTGTGTGACTGATAAAGCCAGCCTCTCCCAAAAACCCCAGGCTGGGCCAACACCAGCTTTCTTACCTCAGCCACCCACGGAGAAAGAGGAAGTGTTGCTCAATCTTCCCGGATGTCCTATAGACAAGGGCATTTCTGTCCCCAAGGGCAGTGGGCTCTTGTCACGTGCCCCTCTCGCCATCTGCCACAGCCTTCCCTTGGGTCTGAGATGTCAATCTTGAGCGTCAGTCCCTGTCACCGTGTGGATGCATGATGGAGCTGTTGGGGACTATCCTGCTCTGGGGAGCGGGGTCACTCCAAAGGTCAGCTTTGGAGCCAGGACATGAAAATATATACGTTCCGTGGCAGAGCACTTGCCTGGCGTGTGTGAAAGCCCTGGGATTGAGCACTAGCACCATATATATACACATGGGAATGAGAAACCACTCCTGCCCCTGGGACAAACAGAGTGTCAGTGATGACTCAGCCCTGCCCTCAGACTTAGTGGCTCCCATGATCAGCTTGCACTTGGGTCCTGAGTTCACTCACCAGAACCAGAAAGAACAGCCAACAACCATGTTGAGGTTTGAAAGGGATGTGGAGGACCAGGTGATGACATACACCTATTGTAATCCTGTAACTTGGGAGGTAAAGGCAGGAAGATCAGGAGTTCAAGCCCAGCCTTGGCTAGGAGGCCAGCCTGAGCTATATGGGTATAGCTCATATAGCTCCGGTATATATCTTAAAAGAGGAGCCTGCCGGTGGTGGCACATGCTTTTAATCCCAGCACTCGGGAGGCAGAGGCAGGTGAATCACTGAGTTCGAGACCAGTCTGGTCTACAAAGTAAGTTCCAGGACAGCCAGGGCTACATGGAGAAACCCTGTCTTGGGGAAAAAAAGAAAAAAAAAGCCAGGAATAGGGCTCAGTGCGTAAAAGGCACTCGCCGTCAAGCCGGATGACCTGAGCTTGATCCCTGGTACAAAACTGACTCCCTAGACTTGCCCTCTGACCTCCATACACACCTTGTGGCACCCATGAGCACACATACATACATACATACACACACATACATACATACATACATACATACATACATACATACATACATACATAAAACCTTAAAAGACTTGTGAGATGAGAGTCTCACTGTGCAGCCCTGGCCAGCTTAGCACTCACTCTGTAGATGAGGCTGGTCTTGAACTCACAGAGATCCACCTGCCTCTACCTCCCATGCACTGGGATTGCATGCATGTGCCACCATCCAGACTTACTAATTTTAAAATCTGAAGAAAGAGGAAAGACCAAAAATAATGGAGTTCAACAAAGGAGGGCAAAGACTAGGGGAACTCCTGTCTCCTCCACACCTGTGATTTCCAACACACGGGGACGGGTGCTGAGAACTGAACTCCGGGCCTCTGGAAGAGCAGCAAGTGTTCTTAACCACGAACCCATTCTCCGGACCCATTCTCCAGATATATATATGACAGGCCGTGGTGGTGCCCCCCTTTAATCCCAGCACTCGGGAGAAAGAAGCAGGCAGGTCTTTATGAGTTCAAGGCCAGCCTGGTCTACAGAGGGAGTTCCAGGACAGCCAAAGCTACAGAGAGAAACCCTGTCTCGAAAAACCAAAGGAAAAAACAATACATATATATATTAGAAAGTTACAAGATTCATGAGCCCCCCTCTCCAAAACTGAAAAGCAGTAAATCATTGCTGGAGTCATTGCTGGAGAGAGGAGCTACCTACAAGCTGGCAAGCTTTTCCACGGAAGCAGCTTTTGTATTGTTCCCTGTGCCAGGGTGGACCTTGTGGTGATACAGCTGTCTTTGAGTCACCGGTCCATGCTGCTTCTCTAAGTAGCCCGTCATGTTGCTCCTGTAATGTAACAACAAAACTCATGGACTCACCACACCAGTCTTGGACAGACAGAATTGCTTCTTCCGTCTGTTGTCAGTACCCTATCTAAGATGAATAGAAGTTTGTTCACACCCCCTTAGAAAAAGAAATGCCACACCAACGATAACCAGAACTGCCCTGAGGGGTAGGGGAAGGGTCAGGGTAGGAAGATGGGGTTGCTCAATGCCCCTATGGTAGCCTTATCGTGAATGCCATTGTTCAGTGGCCACCAAGTAAGAATTTCAGTGGTTCAGGACCAGACACAGCTGCAGGCCCAGACAGCATTTCACCCTGGGCAGGGCCATGTCCTCTCCTCTCTTACTTTCCCAATCCCTGCAGGCAAGCCTGGGCCTGAGCACCGAGCAGATCAGACTAACCAGCCTATGATTCAGGGAACTGGTAAAACTACAAACGCATGAACACATTACTTTTGCATGTTCTCACTAACAGATCCCTGCTAATTCCCATAGTCATGCAAATGCAGGGTCTCATGGTCACAACACCACAAGGTCTCTGGCACATGATCCCAGGCACTGAGTCCCCACACTTGTATAAACCCTTGGGGATTTGGGCAGTAGCCCAGTTACCAACCAGAGCTTCACAAAGACAATCTGACCCAGAATATACAAAGGGTGATGTCACACCTCAACTTCATGAACACAGAACCTCCCAGAAGCAGGGACAGGCTACCCATTAGGCACGGCAGGCAGACAGGGCTTAGAGCCACCATACTTCTAGGAACCCACAAGAGTTTCTTTGTTTGGTGTGTGTGTGTGTGTGTGTGTGTGTGTGTGTGTGTGTGTGTGTGTGTGGTGTAAAGGCCCAAAGTCGATTTGGAATGTATTTCTCTATTGCTCTCCACTCTTTCTAACTAGCATTTTACATTTATTTGTACTTCCATGTGGGCATGGGCATGCCATGGTACTTGGGTGGCAGTCAGAAGACAGCTTGTGGAAGTTAGTTCTGCCAAGTGTACTCCAGGGATTGAACTCAGGTCATCAGGCCTGGCTACAGGTGCTTTTGCTGGCTGAGCTATCTCACTGGGCATTCTTGTATTTGAAAATTTCTTTTTGAAGAGCTAAGGATATAGCTCAGCGATGGAACATTTGGCTAGCGAGCATGAAGCCCTGGGTCCTATTCCCAGCACTGCAGAGAGAGAGAGAGAGAGAGAGAGAGAGAGAGAGAGAGAGAGAGAGAGAGAGAGAGAACAAAACAACTTGTTTTAATGAAGAAGGGACCCACAAAGGCAAAAGTGCCTGGAGCCTGAAATGTCACAGTGGTGTGGAGAAAGTACTCTATAATCACAGAGTCCTCAGGGACCACACTGCAGGACCACACATTTGCTTGACCGGTTATGTCTGCCTCCAGCCCCAAGGCGGACACAAAGCCCTCCCCAAGCGCAGTCTGAGTGGGAGGGGCTGTTGCTGGTCCAGCCCCTCCCACCCGTGCCAAGGCCAGCCTATAAACCGGGTGGGGTGACTATCTACCCAAACTCAGAATTTCCCAGAAGCAGCAGCTGCAGCAGCTTCTCCAAGTTGCTGTAACTAGGGCCAGTGTGGGACGGAATTCAGCCAAGCCATGCTTGCGCTTACACAGCATGGTCAGGAAGTTTGGAGAATGAAGCCCTTCAGTCCTGAGGTCAGCAGGGGCAAGTGGGCCGCTGGCGGGTTTCCAGGGCTGGGTTCTTGGTCACTTGAGCATCCCCTTTCCCAGCGGCTGCCAGGACTTCTGGTGTTGGAAAAACGGAATGGCCTCCCTTAGTCATTACGTCGGCCTGGGCCCGGCTCTCAGCTCCTCCTCTTTCAGAACAAATGGGATGGTTCCTCTGGCCCTTCAGGGAAAGGGTGGGTAAGATGAGGCCAAGGCAAAGCCTGGGGGAAGCAGATGGCCGAGTCCTGGCCACAGAGGTGTCTCACTTGTACCTTTCATGGCCATGCTCCTCACCAAGCCTCTACTCTGCTCTCTGACCTCGCTGAGCCCTGCAGGTCAATGTTCAACTAAAACCACCCCAGGGACAAATTTCTGAGGAAGGGGCGAGGCGCAGCTACTTCAAGCAGGGTTCAGAAAGTTTGATATATGCCTTTAACTCTGCCTCCTTTGGCCAGGCTTCCTCAGGCCCACCCCATGCCACTGCAGCCCACCTGCTTTATGTCTACACTCTCTTCCTGACCTTGCTCAACGTGGTCCAAGGCTCCAGAGGTTCCATGGTACCCAACAAGCCGTTCATCACTATTTGGAATGGGGACACCTCCGACTGCCTGAAGACTTATGGAGTGGATGTGGATGTCAGTGTGTTTGATGTGATTGCCAACAAGGAGCAGATATTCCAAGGCCCTAACATGACTATTTTCTACAGTTGGCAGTTGGGCACCTACCCCTACTATACGTCCACCGGGGAACCCGTATTTGGTGGCCTGCCCCAGAATGCCAGCCTGGTTACCCACCTCACTCATGCATTCCAGGACTTCAAGGCTGCCATACCTGAACCTGACTTCTCAGGACTGGCAGTCATTGACTGGGAGGCATGGCGCCCACGATGGGCCTTTAACTGGGACAGCAAGGACATTTATCGGCAGCGCTCAATGGCACTGGTCCAGGCAGAGCACCCTGACTGGCCCGAAACTTCAGTGGAGACTGTAGCCCAGGACCAGTTCCAGGAAGCTGCAGAGGCCTGGATGGCAGGTACCCTCCAGCTGGGGCAGGTACTGCGTCCGCATGGCCTCTGGGGTTACTATGGCTTCCCCGACTGCTACAACCATGACTTTCTAAGTCCCAATTACACAGGCCAGTGCTCCATAGAAATCCGTAACCAGAATGACAAGCTAGGGTGGTTGTGGAACCAGAGCTCTGCTCTCTACCCCAGTGTCTACCTGCCCGCAGCACTGATGGGCACAGGGAAGTCACAGCTGTATGTTCGACACCGTGTGCAGGAGGCATTCCGTGTGGCCACAGCTTCCAGAGACCCCCATGTGCCCATCCTGCCCTACGTCCAGATCTTCTATGAAATGACAGATCACCTTGTGCCCCTGGTGAGTGCTGGGTGACCTTGTCTACCTTGTCAGCCTTCCTTGTTAGGTAAGAAGGTAAGAGGTCCAACAGCTGAGTCCACATAGCTGCAGGGTACTACTCTCTTGTTTTTTTGGGGGGTGGGTCTTGGGAACTCGGGGCCTTGTACAAATGCTTTCCTACCGCCTTAAATACCCGGTACTTTGTCCATTCATTCCCGCATACAGGCAGCATCTACTCTGTGCCAAGTTCTGTGTGAAGCATGGGTGGGTGATTCAGAACTTAATGGAAAAATTAGTTCCTGTCTATTTACAGGCTAGACAGAGAACAGGCTCGGCCCTGGCCAACAACACTAGAGCAGCCTCAGGTGAAGGTTACAGATTATCTGTCCCATCCAGTGACGTCACAGCCGTTCCCACAGGCAGGAAGGACAGTAGGTCCTGTAGAACTAAGCAGTCTGCTTCTCAGGAGGAGCTGGAGCACAGCCTGGGGGAGAGCGCAGCTCAGGGAGCCGCTGGAGTGGTGGTCTGGGTGAGCTCAGAAGAAACAAAAACCAAGGTAAGTCGCGGCCTGGGGGGAGGGGGAGGAGAAACTGGCCTACTCTTTGTACTGCTGAAGTCCTGGCTAAGCAAAAGGAAGTACCGCTTGCCTGTAAGTAAGGACCAAGTGGGCTCATCCAAGGCTGTGGTCACTTACGCTCTCCTCCCCACTCAGGAATCGTGCCAGGTCGTTAAAGAGTATGTGGACTCCACACTTGGGCCCTTCATCGTGAACGTGACCGGTGCGGCTCTTCTCTGCAGTGAAGCTCTGTGTTCCAGCCATGGCCGCTGTGCCCGCCGCCCCAGTCATCCTGAGACCCTGCTCACCCTCAACCCTGCCAGTTTTTCTATTCAGCTATCACATGACGGCAGGCCCCCAAGCCTCAAGGGTACCCTCTCACTTAAGGATCGGGCCCAGATGGCTATGAAATTCAAGTGTCGATGCTACCGTGGATGGCATGGAAAGTGGTGTGAGAAGCAGGGTATGTAGTGATTAGCTGTACCAGACTGCACACACTAAACACCTAACATACCCTGGGCCCACCTATGACTTCCTCAAACACAGTCACATGCACACAAGTCACAGTCAGGAGTACACTCGGCCACTGTCATGGTCATATGCACACAGGCACACTCATAGGATGGATAGTCACAGTGAGTCAGAATTAAGGGCAGGCACTATCAATTCTGTGCCTATAAGGACCTACTTGGCAGGCAGGCAGGATCATGGGCAAGTGATCACACATGCTAGGCAAGTGCTCTACCACTAAACTATGTTCTTAGCCACTGACGGTGAGTACTCTTTGTCCAGTGTTGCCCAGCAAGAAGAGACAAGCAAGGCCAGGCATGATGATGCACACCTGTAATCCCAGCACTCAGGAGGCAGAGGCAGGAGTCTCTGTGAGTTCAAGGACAACCTGGTCTACAAATTAAGCTCCAGGACAGCCAGGACACTGTCTCAAAAGAAAACAAAACCAAGAGAGATGCATATTGAAATCTAGGTTATCTGGCTCCAAAGATGGAACCTTGCACACCTACTGTGTGTTGATGGTGCCCTAAGTGAGCTGGGGAAACACAACTCTACAGGATCCCTGAATCTGCTGAGAGACGGGAGCACTCACTGCTCAACCCAGCAAACAGAGCTATCATATTTTACTTAGCTAATTAGCTCCTAAAATAGGCAGGCCTCAGAACCCAGAGAGCACTGAGAAAGCTCGTTTCTTTCACCCAAGTGCCTGGTCTAAAGACCGCTGCTTCCCATGATCAGGAGGAAGTCCCTCTGATTTACTAGGGCTGGAGACGGGGCCAGAGCAGAGACAAGACGAAATTCCATTACTTTGAGCCTGGGGCGGGGAGCTGTGCAGGCGGAGCCAAACCCAGGCAAGCTGCTAGAAGCCAGAGGCCGGGCCTGCAAGGGGCCGGGCCAAGAGGAGGCGGAGCCATCGGGAGGAAGCTTCAGGCCCAGCCGCCGCCGGAAGGGAAGGAGCCAGGGAACGTAATGGGCCTGCACTGGTTCTGTTGTGACGCTCAGAACCAGGGGCGGGGTGTCTAGGTGGTGGCGTTCCGGGCACGGAGGACTTAGAAGGAGGTGCGTCGTCGCCTGCGAAGCCTGCTGTGTGTCCTCCGTACTGCTGGGACCAGCGTAGGCAGACCGAGGAATCGGAGCCAGAGACAGCGAGATACCGAAACGTGCGCAGGCTGGACGCGGACCATCCCGGAACTCGGCTTTAACATGTCAGTATCACCCTCACTTTTCACACGTTGCCCATCAATCCTCCCCACGCCCGTGGCCCCACAGTCACCATGTCGCCCCTTAAGTCTTACCAGCGTTGGTCCTTCCCTCCTAGAGCGTGCTGAGCCACACCCACCTGTAATCAATCACGCTTTCAAAACCCCCACCCCCGAAAGATCCATGGCCTGTGTACCACAAAGGGCAGGTACAGACCCTCTCTGAATACCGGGAGCTTCGCTCAACCTATAGTGTTGGGGGGCCCCCCCCGCAATGAAGGAGTTAAGCTGGTCTGGGGAACCCTGGGGTTCTGGGCTAGGGGCGGACCCTGAGGTTCCTCCTTTCAGACCTTAGCAGCCTAGGAGCTGGGAGAGGGTGCTGCTTCTCCTGAGCTGACTGATATAAGGTAAGGGGCTTAACGCCCAGCGTGTGGGATTTGTGTGAGGGCTGAGAGCTGCCCGTCTTCAGGCTCAGGGAAAGTTGGGAAGGGGAATCAGGAGGCACTTTATGGAGCAAATGAGTAGAGTGGGACTCAGTTGCCCACCCTCTACAAGAGACCCCCCAATATAGCCCCTCCTTCCAGCAGAACCTAAAATAAGGTGGGTAAACGATGAGGTTTAGGCATGGAGGCCTGGGTCCCCAACCTGGTGGCCGTTGGGCACCTGTCGATTTAGGAAGGAAGCCATGGTCCTTATCAGGGTAACTATGAAACTCAGGCCAGAGGCAAGCAGGCTTGCAAAAGCCACATTCTGTGCGGTGGGCCAGGCTCCATGCTGGTGCTGTGAGGGCACCATATACAGGGACAGTTGGGTCTAGGCCCAAGGTGTCCTGAACTGGACAGAATGGGAGAGGAGGGCCATACGCTCTGCTCTCTAGGGAAGGCAGGCGGTAGAGGGGGTGAAGGCTGAGCCTGTTTGGGTGGGTACCTGGGTCCCAGGATCCACTTGATAGCAGGCCTGGCTCGGATAGCTAGAGGAGAGCTGACATGTAGGGAGGAGGAGGGGCAGGGCGACTCCTGGGAGTGATCTTTCTTCTGAAAAGAAAACTCCAGTAGGAGCAAACTAGAGGTATGATGTCTGGCTCACCCTGTGCCAAGGCTAGCCAGCTGCAGTCACGGACTGCTAAAGATAAGACAGGCTGCTCGGTGTGGTGGTGTGGTGGTGTGGTGATGGCTGACGTCTGCGATCCTAGGTCTTGGGAGGCTGAGGCGGTTGGCAAGTGTAGTCTACATACCCTGGAGAGAGACAGAGGTAGGGAGGACCCATACAAAAGCAAAAGATAGTCAACAAGTGGGCTGGGTGGATTAGCCTGGCATAGTGAGCTGTTATAAAGGATAAATTTGTAGCCAGAACTTCTGGATTCTACCACAGCCTCCAGCACTTACCAGTGTTGGGTAGGACTCCTGGATTCATTCACCCATAGGGATGGGTCTCTTCCAGGGCACCTATACTTTCCAGTGCATGTAGGACAAAGTGAAGCACATCATTCCCCAGTTCCCAGATGCATGCCCCCCTTCCATCCATTAGCTCTTCCCTGCCCCGACCCTGTCTTCCTGGCACAGCCTAGCATGGCTGTTATCCACAGGAGGTGAGCCCTTGTATGAGGAGATGCCACTGCCTGGAGACCATGGCCTTCCCCTCCAGCCTGGCAATGAGCCACCTGAAACCTAACAGGAAGTGACCTTGGCTTCCTGCCTGACTCAGCTGAGCCTGGATCCTACCTGTAGGCAAGAGCTGACTCTGAGCCCTGGCCCAGCCAAGCTGACCCCTACCTTAGACCCCATGCACCGGATGGAGCTGATCCTGAGTACCAGCCCAGCAAAGCTGACTCTAGATCCTGCATGCCAGCCAGAAGTGACCCTGAGATTCAACCTGACCAAGCTAACCCTGGATCCTGCACGCCAGCCAGAGCTGTCACTGAGTCCCAGGATAGCTGAGTTGACCCTGGATTCCACATGCCACCCAGAGATGACCCTCAGTCCCGGCCCAGCTGAGCTTACCCTGGATCCTGAACACCAGGCAGAGGAGACCCCAGCCCTGAACCCAGCCGAGTTGACCCTGGAGCCTGTGCACTGTCGACCTGAGCTCCTGAGTGCTTGTGCCGACCTCATCAATGACCAGTGGCCCCGCAGTCGTACCTCCCGCCTCCATTCCCTGGGCCAGTCCTCAGATGCCTTCCCCCTCTGCCTGATGCTGCTGAGCCCTCATCCCACCCCTGGAGCATCCCCTATCGTGGTGGGCCATGCCCGTTTATCCCGGGTCCTGGACCATCCCCACAGCCTCTTAGTGGAGACGGTGGTGGTAGCCCGGGCTCTGAGGGGCCGTGGCTTTGGTCGCCGCCTCATGGAGGGCTTGGAGGCTTTTGCCCGAGCCCGGGGCTTTCGCCGGCTGCACCTCACCACTCACGATCAGTTATACTTCTACGCCCATCTGGGCTACCACCTGGGCGAGCCTGTGCAGGGGCTGGTCTTCACCAACCGTCGGCTGCCCACTACGTTCCTACGTGCCTTCTCTAAGACACCCTGCCCCCAGCCACCCTGCAAGGGGCCTGTCCTAGCTGCCCAAGCTGTCCCAAGGAGCTCTAAGGGACCCCCATTGCCACCACCTCCTCCCCTACCCCAGTCCCTGACCACCTCACCCCCACCTTCACCAGGGCCCCTTCCTCAAAGCCTGCTGGAGGCACAATACCGAGATCTGAAGGGGTGTCCTATATTCTGGATGGAAAAAGACATCTGAAGGCTAGGCGCTGTCTTTCTGGGACACTGAATTGCCCAGAGCAGTCCCAGCCTCAGCCCACTGGCCATACTTTAGCCCCCTAGCCCTTGGGGCCGACCTTAGCCTGTGTATGTTTCCTGGGTACCAATGGGCCAGGAGGTGGCTTGAGAGCTTCAGCTCAGAGCTGTTAGTGTGGCTAAATAAAGGCTTCCATTAGGTATGGCTGTGACAGTTTATTTGTTAAACCCCCTTCCCAAGTCCCCTATCCCTGCAGAAGCCCTGCTGTCTATCCACCTGGGCTATCCAGGAGTCACTGATGAGGTAACATCTGTCCTTTGTTCCTCCTCCTCCAGGCCCAGGGTAACTGTTCTTTACACCTCCACTGACTCATCACCATTCACCAAGCACTTATTATGTGTCAAGCCCTGCACTGGACACAGGCAGTGAGGCATTTGAAGGCAAACAGTGGTGGGGGTGGGGTGTGGCAGGCAGGACTCGTGCTGGGAGCCCACGGACCCTCACTTCCCCCAGGATCGGGGAGATAGGTGATGATAGAGACCTGAGTGCCGAATACGAAGTAAGCCAGGGAGGCAAGAAGGCAAGCGCTGGGGGTTTCTGAGGCAGAGACAAGATGGGCAGGGGGAGCCAGGGGCCTTGTGACAGCCATGAGTTGGGGTGGCCTCAGAGAACATGATGGTGCCCTAACAGAGATGGAGAACGCCGGAGGGGAGCAGCCCAGGATGTTTGGGGTATGGCCTCTCTGAGAGACCCATGAACTGCTTGGGAGCCATGTTTAACCCCCAGCCCTGCCCCTTTCCCCGAGAGGAGGAACTTGGGAAGCTTTTCCAGCTCTCCTTGCTATACAGAAGGCATGGCCTTGGCCATGGACTCTAAGCTCATCCCCCCTCTCTCCTGCAGGTTTCCATCTTTGTGGCACCACCATGCAGCTAGGCCTGACCCTGATGGTGGGGGTAGCCCTGTGCTTTGGGTGTGGCCAGTCTTTCCTGAAGGCTCCTGAGCGTCCCTTTTCTGTGCTGTGGAATGTACCCTCAGCAAGATGTACGGTTCAGTTTGGTGTGCACCTGCCACTCAGTGCCCTCAGCATCATAGCCAACCATGGCCAGCATTTTCATGGCCAAAATATCACCATCTTCTATAAGAACCAGTTTGGTCTTTATCCCTATTTTGGATCTAGAGGCACAGCCCACAATGGGGGCATCCCCCAGGCTGTGTCATTAGACCGCCACTTGGCACAAGCTGCCCACCAGATCCTCCACAGCCTAGGGTCTAGCTTTGCTGGCTTGGCAGTGCTGGACTGGGAAGAGTGGTATCCACTCTGGGCTGGGAACTGGAGCCCCCACCGCCAAGTCTACTGGGAAGCCTCCTGGGCTTGGGCACAGCGGATGTACCCTGACTTGGATCCTCGGGAACAGTTCCACAAAGCCCACACTGGCTTTGAGCAGGCTGCCCGTGCTCTGATGGAATACACACTGCAGCTGGGCCAGGCACTTCGCCCGCATGGGCTCTGGGGCTTTTACCGGTACCCAGCCTGTGGCAATGGCTGGCACGCTACGGCTTCCAACTATACAGGCCACTGCCGTGCAACCACCGTTAGCCGAAACAACCGGCTGCGCTGGCTCTGGGCCGCCTCCAGTGCCGTCTTTCCTAGCATCTACCTGCCACCCAGACTGCCACCCGCCTACCATCAGGCCTTCGTCCGGCACCGCCTGCAGGAGGCCTTCCGTGTGGCCCTTGCGGGGCATGCACATCCTTTACCTGTTCTGGCCTATGTTCGCCTCACACACCAGAACTCTGGGAGATTCTTGTCTCTGGTAAGTAAAAGCTGAGGTTTAGGGGTCTGAGTCCAGAGACACAGCCCTGTTCTAGAAAGGCCTGAAGAGAAGACTTTGCCTAAGGGACTTGGGAAAGTGGTCATGATCTCGGGGTTTAAAAAAGGATCCTATCCTGCTGGGTGGTGGTGGCACGTGCCTTTAATCCCAGCACTCAGGAGGGATTAAAGGAGGCAGATCTCTGAGTTTGAGGCCAGCCTGGTCTACAGAGTGAGTTCCAGGATGACTGTAACTATATGATGAGATCCTGTCTCAAAAACAACAAAACAGACAAAAAGATCCCATCCTGGAGTAGAGAGGCAAGGCTGTGTGCTGGGAGATCTCATTGGGTTAGAGTCCGGCCTTTGGATATCTGGAGGTCCTGGGAAGTTACTTAGAGGCCCTGTCAAAAGGGTCCTACTCTAAGAGGCTAAGGAGATGATGGTTAATTGATTAAGAGCACTCGCTGCTCTTCCAAAGGTCCTGAGTTCAATTCCCAGCAACCACATGGCGGCTCACAACCATCTCTATCTCTATCTCTATCTCTATCTCTATCTCTATCTCTATCTCTATCTCTATCTCTATCTCTATATCTATCTATCTCTATATCTATATCTATATCTATATCTATATCTATATCTATATCTATATCTATATATGGGATCTGATGCCCTCTTCTGGCATAAAGGCTCACGTGCAGACAGAGCACATTAAACAAATAAACAAATAAATAAAAATCTTTAAAAAAAACAAAAAAGGGCCCTACTCTAGAGGCAGAATCAATCCTAGCAGTAAACCGAACAGTACCAAGGTGAAGTTGGGCCCTGATGGATCTGGCCAGTCCAGCTTTGGCTTACCGGTTCTTTGCCTCCAGGATGACCTGGTGAGGACTGTCGGTATGAGCGCAGCCCTGGGCGCAGCAGGTGTGGTGCTCTGGGGAGACCTGAGCTTCTCCAACTCTGAGGTGAGTGTTGCCCCTTCACCACGCACATGCTGGGGTTCTAAGTCGAGGGAGAAGCCATGCCAAGTCTTAGAGAAGGAGCAGTGACAGATCTCTTCTCTTCTTAGGAGGAGTGCTGGCATCTCCATGACTACCTAGTGGGCACTTTAGGCCCCTATGTGATCAATGTGACAAAGGCTGCCATGGCCTGCAGTCACCAACGATGCCATGGCCATGGCCGCTGTGCCCGGAGAGACCCAGGACAAAAGGATGCGTTTCTGCACATGAAGCCAGATGGTAGTCTTGGAACTTGGAAGTCCTTCAGATGCCGGTGTTACTTGGGTTGGGCTGGCCCTACCTGCCATGAGCCTAAACTTGAGTCTAAGGAAGCAACATAAAGTCAGGAGCTCTTGTCCCTGTTCCCACTTTCCCAGCCCTAGGGAAATTCCCGTTTATGCTTTATTTAGCGAATAAATAGAACGTTGCCAAGTACATAAACCACTTCCACCAACACACCTTCCTCCAGAATTCCTGAGGAATAGATAGGGCCTAATAAAAATATAAAACCAGAATCAGAGTCCTCTGAGATCATCTGACTTAAGGCAATAAAGCTGCCTCAGGGAGTCAGTTCCAGGCATTTTTTTTGTTGTTGTTTGTTTGTTTTTTCGAGACAGGATTTTTCTTCGTGTAGTTTTGGTGCCTGTCCTAGATCTTACTCTGTAGACCAGGCTGGCCTCGAACTCACAGAGATCCGCCTGGCTCTGCCTCCTGAGTGCAGGGATAAACGGCATGCACCACCACCACCACCACCACCACCACCACCGCTCGGCAGTTCCAGACATTTAAGGTTGCCAGCTAGCCTAAGGCTGTGTTCCTATACCTCAGTGAATCTTCAGAGAAGTCATATCTAGGGAACAGTGAGACAACCTCCCAATGCACATGCACATAAGCATGCATGCACACGCCCTCGCCAAAAAAAATAAAATAAAATAAAATAAATTCAGCTAAGGTCTGTTAAATGCTAAGCTATTATCTGTACTCATCCATAAAGTCCTCTTTCGTTACCTGAGGTTTGTCTGTTCTCACTATTCTACCAAGTGTCAAACCCTGGCCTCAACGCAGGTGCCTTGTTAAAGCAAGGAGAGAAACTACTGAGCTAACTATGAACCCAGGCGCCACGGGAACCGGACGGGGCCGGGGCCGGGGGGGGGGGGGGGGAAGGTACGCAGGGCATTGTGGGTACATAGTTTAGCCGGAGCGGCGTCGGCTTGTGTGCCTCCGGAACGGACTACGATTCCCGTCGTGCACTGCGCTCAACTCAGGCCGCCCTAATCTGTGTGCGCAGCCGCCTGGGGAGAGTAGTTTCGGCCGCGTGGATGTGGATCTGAACCGGGTGGCGGGGAACTCACCTTCCCAGCGACCCGTTTGACAGGGCGGGGCGCCTCACGAAGATGGTGGCGCGCGCGGCGTGTGGCTCCTGTCGTCTTCCCCAGTCTCAACTCAGCGCACCGGCCAGCGTTTCGCTGGTTTGGAGTCCCCGCCCTCCGGGTCCCTGACCCCGCGCCCCCTTACCGTGTCCCCGACTGCTGGTTCCAGGAATGCCTCGTGCTCGTAAGGGCAATGCGCTCCGCAAGGGCGGTCAGCGCCGTGGAGGAGGTGAGTCCGGGGGCTCCGGTAGAATTGTTCAGTAGTGAGCGGGGGCATTTCGTGGTTCCCTTTGGATGTCACCAAGGGTCTTGGGTTGGCGAATCTTGCAGGGTCAGTGCCGCGCAACCTCCCGGAACTCTGCTAAGGCTCGCACGTGCCCCAGCAGGCATTGGCCACGTGTGCGCCCAACTTGAGCTCATTGCCAGCTGTTTTTCGAAATCCCGCGCCCGCTGCGGTGATTTGGCCAGCATTTAAGGACCTAGGTTTTCCCATCACCACCAGGGTGGACAACCACACTGGACAAAAGCGTGAAGCCAGCCCCTTTGCCAAATACTAGTGCATTTGGTAGACTGCACAGGGGAGTTAGTAGAGAGGCCTCGTCGGTTCTGTGAAACCGGGAAGTGTGATTGGAAAGGTACAGAATTGAGGCCTTAGCAATTTGGGCTGGAGACTGGGTGGAGAGCCCGTCTTGAGACTCCTTATCAGCCTCAACCAGAAGCATGTCCTGTTGCGGTACACACGTTAACTCTGCAGAGATAGAGTGCCTGCCAAGCCTAGTTTTGATCTGGCTGCCACCCTAATGTGGCTTGGGTCTGGGGCCATCTAGTAGAGTTATGACAGTTCCATAAGGACTAACACCAGTTACTGAATGGTATGAGACGGAATCCTGGGAGGCCCTGTGGGAGGAGCTTCTGGTGAGACCTGGGAAGGTGAAGAGCCTGTTGTGCAAAGGCACCCAAAGGGACCATAGCACAGGGAAGCAAAGGAGGAAGTCGAATAGTAAGAGTAGAGGTGAATAGAAGCCAAGGTGGGGCCTGAACTTTTCCCTACAGGCAAGTAATGTTACTAGTCCCCAGGATCGAGGACTGCCACCAGATCAGCACCTGTCCAGGGCTCTGCTACAGCAGCTGCTCATCTCAAAGCCAGTCCTTGGCCCGGGAGAGGAATGTTTCTGCTCTACTGACACTTTGAGAGTCCCCTCTGTTTGCTTTTTTTGTTGTTTTGTTTGTTTTCTCTGTGTAGTTTTGGTGCCTGTCCTGGATCTCACTCTGTAGCCCAGGCTGACCTTGAACTCACAGAGATCCACCTGGCTCCGCCTCTCGAGTGCTGGGATAAAAGGTGTGCGCCACCACCGCCCAGCTGTTTGCTTCTTTTTCAAATGCTCGCATGGTCAAGAGCCTCTTCTGTGTCTGTAAAGTTGATGGCCCTGAGGGGACCAAAGGAAGCCCAGAAGACTATATATGGAGCACAGAGCACCCAGCACACCCACTGGGACCCGGGCTTCTGCTCCAGAGTTGATGGGCAGATCAGTGACTGTGGCGGCCTGTGCAGAGCTGTTACAAGTCACCTGTTTCCACCTGCCACACCTGAAAGGGGGCGCTTTCTCGGCCGTGCTTTAAAGGCTGGGCAGCTGGTCAAGTCACACCTCCGCTAAGGTTGGGGGTGGGGCAGGGGGTCCTAAGGAGAGCATGAGGAGGGGGTGCCCAGTGAGAACACAAGACCTTGGGTCAGTTTAAACCCCTGGGTCAGTCCTAGTGCTATAACCTGAGCCCCAACCTTGACATTGCTCACTTTTGAGCATAATCTAGACTAGGCCACAGGCCTAGGTGGGACTCGTCCAGTCCCTTCTGCCACTGTGTGGTTCTTGCCCTCCTTAAAGCAGGCTGTGCCCTCCTGGGGTCCCCACTCACCAAGTCTGCCAGGTTGTTGGCGGGTGGGCCTAGCACCTGTGTTCTCCAGCAGAAAGACCTCCTTCCCTTTCTCCTGCTTCCTAATCCAAGTCCCATGTTGGAGCCCCTGTGCTGCTGCTTACCCTAGCCTCCGTTTGCACATCTCTGAGATGGGACAGTATTCATGAAGGTAGACGAGGTGCGTCGAGTCCTCCCTCACCAATGGAAGCTGGTCACATAGCAGTTTTATGTTTCCCAGGTACCAGGAGCAGTGCCCAGGCCGACTCAGGTTCCAGTGAGGATGAAGCAGCCAGTGAGGCCCGGAGCACCACCAGTGAATGTCCCAGCCTGCTCAGTACCACTGCCGAGGACTGCCTGGGTGAGAGCAAGTTGGAGTTGGACAGGGACTCGGTGAGGGCGTCACTGGACAAGGGCAGGATTCAGTGATGACCAGCTGGCTTTGCAGGTGGGGAAGCTGTGGAGGAGCAGAGCCAGCAGGGAGACCTGGAGGAAAAGCTGAAGGACGCCGTGGACTGCCTCACTGACAAGAGGTACCTCTGGCTGCTGGCCAACTTCTGCACCTAGGGCCCTGCTCGGCCAGCCTCTGGCAAATGGAACGCAGGGCGCGATCACCCACACGAACCCTTTCTCTGCCTCCCAGTGCCAAGACCCGGCAGGGAGCTCTGGAGAGCCTGCGCCTGGCCCTGGCCTCCCACCTGCTTCCTGACTTCTTGCTGGAACGCAGCCTCACACTGTCGGATGCCCTGGAAAAGTGCCTTAAGAAAGGTCAAGTCCTGGGCACTTGGGGAACCCTAGCTGGGCAGGTGTTGACGCTTGCTGCATGCGCTAACTGGAAAGCATCCTGTAGGGAAGGGTGAAGAACAGGCCTTGGCTGCCTCAGTGCTAGGCCTGCTCTGTGTGCAGTTGGGCCCTGGACCCAAGGGCGAGGAGCTGTTCCATAGCCTGCAGCCCCTGCTCATCTCGGTGCTCAGTGACAGTACGGCCAGCCCCGCTGCCCGGCTCCATGTGAGTATTTCCACGTCCACGTCCCGTGGTCCCTCATCCCGGAGCAGGGTGTCGGGTTCTGCCTGTCTTCAGACTCCCTCCCCTAAAGATGGTGAGCTTCAGATGATGGTCCTGATGTTGACCCATGGTAGCCTAGCTTTGTCCTCTTCCAACAGTGTGCTTCTGCTCTCGGCTTGGGCTGCTATGTGGCTGCCACCGACGTCCAGGTAAGCGGACTTTGGAGATGGGCGGCCTAGTAGCTCGACTCGGTAGCTCTGTCTGTGAACCACCTGTCTCCTTGTGCTCCTAGGACCTGGTCTCTTGCTTGGCCTGCCTGGAAAGTATTTTCAGCTGGTCCTGTGGCCCCAGTGGCTCCACTGCGGCTCTGGTCCCTGCCAGCCTCCATGGCCTGCTCTGTGCTGCCCTGCAGGCCTGGGCATTGCTGCTCACCATCTGTCCTAGTACCCACATCAACCACATCCTTGACAGGTAGGGGCGGCTGCCTACCGGGAGTGGGGGCAGTTGTGACGAGACCCTCAACCCAGACGCAAAGCTTAGCTTGCCATTTCCTCAGGCAGCTGCCCCGGCTGCCGCAGCTCCTGTCCAGTGAGAGTGTGAACCTGCGGATTGCTGCTGGGGAAGCCATCGCCCTGCTCTTTGAGCTGGCCCGGGACCTTGAGGTGCGAGGGAAGTGCCTGCTGGCCACGCGCACGCGCGCGCGCACACACCCACACACACCCACACCAATGCAGCAGTTGGGTCGTTCTGTAGGGGAAGTGATCCCAACTCTTACTCACACGCTAGGTGCTGTAGTGGGGATTCTGAGCGGAGGTGAGCTGCTGCGGGGAGGTGAAGGAGGGCTTGAGAGAAGAGGAGCCAGGCAGAGGAGAACAGTGAGGGGAGGAAAACTTGGGCAACACCATGCTCAGTTCCAGAAGATTTCAGGCTTCCACCCAACACCTCATGTTCCCACCCAGGAGGACTTTGTTTATGAGGACATGGAAGCTCTCTGTGGTTCCCTGCGGACTCTAGCCACTGACAGCAATAAGTACCGTGCCAAGATTGACCGTCGACGCCAGCGCTCCATTTTCCGAGCTGTGCTGCACTTTGTTGAGGTGTGTGTGTGAGCATGAATATTCCTTAAAAATGTGTCCCCAAGGGTTGGGCTTGGTGGTCCATGCCTGTGGCACGCACATGCACGCACGCACGCACGCATGCATGCACGTGTCCCAGGCGTGTTAGCCAATCCCAATCACGGGCCCTCTACCCTGTAGGGTGGTGAATGTGAGGAGGAAACGATCCGCTTTGGACTGGAAGTGCTCTGCATAGACAGCTGGGCTCGCCACCGCATCTACACAGCCTTCAAGGATGTGCTGGGCTCTGGCATGCACTATCACCTCCAGGTGAGGGGACATGACATATGGGGAGGTCTGCCCGCGTGACTCCTCCAGAATGCCCTTAGCTAATCAGTTGCCTTGTCTTAGAACAACGGGCTTCTCCGGGACATCTTTGGCCTGGGTCCTGTGCTGGTGCTGGATGCCGCCGCCCTGAAGGCCTGCAAGATTTCACGTTTTGAAAAGGTTTGCATATTGGACACCTTTATCCTGCCTCCTGTTCTCTGGAGGCCTCGAGCTGTGAGTGGGCTACAGGAGGAGCCCCAACTTTCCCTTCCCAGTTCACCAGGCTCCCTTCTCTGCCTCTTCCTCAGCACCTGTACAATGCTGCAGCCTTCAAAGCCCGGACCAAG